GATCCCTGATACATCTTGATGGAAGAGATCCCTGATACATCTTGATGGAAGAGATCCTTGATACATCTTGATGGAAGAGATCCCTGATACATCTTGATGGAAGAGATCCCTGATACATCTTAGCGAGGAGATCCCTGATACATCTTGATGGAAGAGATCCCTGATACATCTTGATGGAAGAGATCCCTGATACATCTTGATGGAAGAGATCCGTGATACATCTTGATGGAAGAGATGCCTGATACATCTTAGCGAGGAGCAATCAATAAGTGGAAAGCATTCAATCTCATTTTTATTCATATTTTTTCCTAAATTTCACAAACTTTTTGAAACTATTGCCAGGTTTATATTTGGCATCGGAAAACTTTTAATTGAATTGTTATTCATGTATTTCTTTTAAATACGTGAAAAGACTTGCCACAACTGTTGGGTGCCTGTGTACATCATGTTATACTAACCTGATGTTGTAGCAGATATGAAAAGCCCCCTGACAACAACTTGTTTTTCCGTCACTAAATGTACGAACATGGGCAAACAATCAACATGATAAAAAACATGACATTTCTACTCGGATGCATTAACCAATGGGACGATTGCCTCAGGCTAGTGTGTGAATACTTCCCTTAGAAACCCCATGTACTATTTGGCGAGTTTGTTGGTCAGTTGGTACATTGTCTGTGTATAAATTGATTTCTTTTTGAAGCAGGAAGCCTATAGTAATCAGCTGTATTATGTGTATGAATAAGTCCTGTCATTAACAACTAAATAGAATGAATATGCTACACTTCGGCTGGGTAGAGTGGCATCTCCATTTGAGGATCAATGCTGTTAATATATTAACTTAATTCTCTTTACAGATATCGAACAGATGAAAGACAGATAATGCTGTTCAGTTTCCTTTGTAGTCAACTAATGTTTTTGGAAAAATGAGTCAGGGATGGTTGAAGTGTTTATTTGATCATGATGGAAATGACCTAGGTTTGAATTCTCTCAAGATTAGAATAGATAAACATTGTGGAATTCATTATTGCTGAAAAGAATTTTGTGCAAAAGCAGCTCACTTAAAATCCAAGTAATGTTATTGAACAAAAAAAAATGTTGTTGCTTTGAAGTGTCTGGGAAGGAAATGATCCAAATCTATTGGTTTGTTCATCAGTTACTTTTACAATTATGTCAGTGTTTACTGAGTCAACATGACATCTGACAAAACAGTTACATTATGGGTATTTATAACTGGTGTGCTCAATCAGCTCAGTCAAATTTTTAAACTGATTTTGCAAATTAAATTTTGTTTCAAGCAGTTTTAGTTCACAAACAAACAAATAACAATTCAATTTCTGCACCTGTCACACCAATGACCTGGTACTGTAAAGATCCATATCATAATTGGTCTTCTGCAACCCATGCTTGTCCTCAGTGAGGATCCGGGTTAGAATTGGTCTTCTGCAACCAAGACTTGTCCTCTATAGATCCGGGTTAGAATTGGTCTTCTGCAACCCATGCTTGTTCTCTGAAGATTTGGGTTAGATTTGGTCTTCTGCAACCCATGCTTGTCCTCTGAAGATCCGGGTTAGAATTAGTCTTCTGCAACCCATGCATGTCCTCTGAAGATTTGGGTTAGATTTGGTCTTCTGCAACCCAGACTTGTCCTCTGAAGATTCGGGTTAGAATTGGTCTTCTGCAACCCATGCTTGTCCTCTGAAGATTCGGGTTAGAATTGGTCTTCTGCAGTTAGAATTGGTCCTGCATGCTTGTCCTCTGAAGATCCGGGTTAGAATTGGTCTTCTGCAACCCATGCTTGTTCTCTGAAGATTCGGGTTAGAATTGGTCTTCTGCAACCCAGACTTGTCCTCTGAAGATCCGGGTTAGAATTGGTCTTCTGCAACCCATGCATGTCCTCTGAAGATTCGGGTTAGAATTGGTCTTCTGCAACCCATGCTTGTCCTCTGAAGATTCGGGTTAGAATTGGTCTTCTGCAACCCATGCTTGTCCTTCTGAAGATCTTGTCGAAGATCCGGGTTAGAATTGGTCTTCTGCAACCCATGCTTGTCCTCTGAAGATTTGGGTTAGATTTGGTCTTCTGCAACCCAGACTTGTCCTCTGAAGATCCGGGTTAGAATTGGTCTTCTGCAACCCATGCTTGTCCTCTGAAGATCCGGGTTAGAATTGGTCTTCTGCAACCCATGCTTGTCCTCTGAAGATCCGGGTTAGGGTGGTCTTCTGCAACCCATGGATTAGAATTGGTCTTCTGCAACCCATGCTTGTCCCCTGAAGATCCGGGTTAGAATTGGTCTTCTGCAACCCATGCTTGTCCTCTGAAGATCCGGGTTAGAATTGGTCTTCTGCAACCCATGCTTGTCCCCTGAAGATGGTTAGAATTGGTCTTCTGCAACCCATGCTTGTCCTCTGAAGATTTAGAATTGGTCTTCTGCAACCCATGCTTGTCCTCTGAAGATTGTCCTCTGGTTAGTTAGAATTGGTCTTCTGCAACCCATGCTTGTCCCCTGAAGATCCGGGTTAGAATTGGTCTTCTGCAACCCATGCTTGTCCCCTGAAGATCCGGGTTAGAATTGGTCTTCTGCAACCCATGCTTGTCCTCTGAAGATCCGGGTTAGAATTGGTCTTCTGCAACCCATGCTTGTCCCCTGAAGATCCGGGTTAGAATTGGTCTTCTGCAACCCATGCTTGTCCCTCTGAAGATCCTGGTTAGGTCTCTTCTGCAACCCATGCTTGTCCTCTGAAGATCCGGGTTAGAATTGGTCTTCTGCAACCCATGCAACCCAGACTTGATCTCTGGGTCCCTGAAGATCCGGGTTAGAATTGGTCTTCTGCAACCCATGCTTGTCCTCTGAAGATCCGGGTTAGAATTGGTCTTCTGCAACCCAGACTTGTCCTCTGAAGATCCGGGTTAGAATTGGTCTTCTGCAACCCATGCTTGTCCCTGAAGATCCGGGTTAGAATTGGTCTTCTGCAACCATGCTTGTCCTCTGAAGATCCGGGTTAGAATTGGTCTTCTGCAACCCAGACTTGTCCTCTGAAGATCCGGTTAGAATTGGTCTTCTGCAACCCATGCTTGTCCTCTGAGGATCCGGGTTTGAATTGGTCTTCTGCTTGTCCTCTGAAGATCCGGGTTAGAATTGGTTGTCAGCTACCTATGCTTGTACTCTGTGAAGATCTGGATTGAAATGTTTTTGACAATCCTGTAATTCTGTTCAATGTTCTATCTTTCAAGCGTAGCATAAACCAACGGTTGATCTGATTATTTTTCAAGATTTGTAAGCATTTTGCTCCTGCTAACCCAGGGTTTTACGAAATAGTACATATCAAAAACCTGGATCACTTTCTTCTTTCGATGTTCAAATTGGAGTTGACCCTCATTCACTCTTCCCACATACTCTTCGACTTTGCTGACTGGGCGTTGTCATATGAATTGATTTCTCATGAGACAACCTTCATGAGAAGAGATGACGGATGCCAGGGTCGCAGTAACTGTAATGATAATAGTTGAGTATATCTCTTCCTGTCTGAAGTCTGAGGAGCAGAACATGTATCTGTACACTGTCCAATCAATACCATTGGGTGCTGGATTACTTGTTGACTTGCAGAAGTCAGACACTATTCCTTTATATATGTCTCCAGGGTCATCTGGCCAGATATGTATTCTTCTATAAACTTTCTACCATGTGTCTAGACAACCTTTCTGAATCACTGTACTTTGACTACATTGTTTTTCAAGCAGCTATCTCTTTGAAGTCTGTGAATGATAATCTGTTCCTTTGGGCCTCATCAGCAACTGTCTGACATTGTAGTTTCAGTCATTTTGGCAGTGGTTAGCAAGATTTGTATTTAATAGAATTCATAGTGAGTATATGAAATCAAAGGAAACTTACAGTCTGTTAACTTAGACACTAGTTTAAAGAATGATTCTTGTAAAGGTCTGTTTGGTCTAGGGAGACTTACCAGGGGTGGAAATAACCCATTGCCCGACGCCCGAGTCCAGTGTTTTTTTCTGTCGGGCAAGCAAATTTGTATATCACACTGTACCGGTGTCCAGTTGACTTTCCAATGTTAATTATGTTGTTTATTTAAAAAATCAGCATGGAAACGGTCGGTATAGTGGAAAAATTATCAGGGCAAGTGACATTACATGTGCCACTCTACCGGAGTACACTATCAATTTTAAAGTTATTTCCAACCCTGCTTACAAAAGTTGATAAATAATAACACTGAAACACTGAAAATAATGCTCGGCCATGTTTGGACTATTAGTCCCAGTAGTTTTAAGGCATAAACACAGCAGGCATCGTTGGTAATGTTTAACCCATGACAAGCGAAATATTACTTGGGCTAAATGCGATGGAAGCCTATTCTGGTGTGTAACTTGACATCAAATCGTTTGTGAGCATTCCATGACAATATTATAGGGTCATTTTACTTTGTTATCCAGCTAATTTGATTGTATGGAAGTGAGGAAGATTTTCTCATAGACTGCAACATGCCCACTATATCATCAGTTTGAAACCCCAACAATTTCATCCCTTAAAGACTTGGATTTCTTCCATGCATGTCTTCATCAAGGAACCTCATGTAAGGCTTTCTCAGATGCAGACTTGTTTACTGTGTGTTATATGGACTAACACTTAGTCTCTGAATATATATAAGTTTGATAGTAACAAATAAACCAATTTAAATTGAAAAGGAGCCCTAGTGAGATGGGAAATTCAGAGCCTGAGGAAATCTAGATTTGCTTCATTTAGGGCTTTAGCATTGCAGGTGATGGTGAGGCAGTAGGAAAATAATGTGTTCAGGGACTTTGAGACGGACTAGGTCTCATATAGCTTGGTTAGTGCAGCGTTATACAACAAGTTATCAACAAAACAGTTATGAATCCTCATGATACCAATCGTACAGATTTCACAGTTATTCAGATCCACATACTTTCTGTTACAGCTGTTCCTTAATTTTATTCTGTCAGTATATGGATGTATTTATATTTTCAGAAAAAGTCTCGCCAGGAGAGTCATGGAGCAGGGAGCGGAGTGGAGATTCTGGAGAACACACCCTACACAGAGGGACCAGGGGGTAGTGGACAGTACACCTACAAGATATACCACATTGGCAGCCATCTGCCAGGTAGGTAAAACAAGGGACAGTACACCTACAAGATATACCACATTGGCAGCCATCTGCCAGGTAGGTAATACAAGGGACAGTACACCTACAAGATATACCACATTGGCAGCCACCTGCCAGGTAGGTAATACAAGGGACAGTACACCTACAAGATATACCACATTGGCAGCCATCTGCCAGGTAGGTAATACAAGGGACAGTACACCTACAAGATATACCATATTGGCAGCCATCTGCCAGGTAGGTAATACAAGGGACAGTACACCTACAAGAAGGCATATGCCAGGTAGCAGGGAACAAGATATACCACCTTGCCAGGGTAGGTAATACAAGGGACAGTACACCTACAAGATATACCACATTGGCAGCCACCTGCCAGGTAGGTAATACAAGGGACAGTACACCTACAAGATATACCACATTGGCAGCCACCTGCCAGGTAGGTAATACAAGGGACAGTACACCTACAAGATATACCACATTGGCAGCCATCTGCCAGGGTAGGTAACACAAGGGACAGTACACCTACAAGATATACCACATTGGCAGCCACCTGCCAGGTAGGTAATACAAGGGACAGTACACCTACAAGATATACCACAGCCACCTGCCAGGTAGGTAACACAAGCACAGCCATCTGCCAGGCAGCCACCTGCCAGGTAGGTAACACAAGGGACAGTACACCTACAAGATATACCACATTGGCAGCCACCTGCCAGGTAGGTATACAAGGGGACAGTACACCTACAAGATATACCAGCCACCTGCCAGGTGGTAACACCAGTACACCTACAAGATATACCACATTGGCATTGGTTGTAGGTAACACAAGGGACAGTAACCCAAGGTTGGTAGTACAAGGACAGTACACCTACAAGATATACCATATTGGCAGCCACCTGCCAGGTAGGTAATACAAGGGACAGTACACCTACAAGATATACCACATTGGCAGCCATCTGCCAGGTAGGTAATACAAGGGACAGTACACCTACAAGATATACCACATTGGCAGCCACCTGCCAGGTAGGTAATACAAGGGACAGTACACCTACAAGATATACCATATTGGCAGCCACCTGCCAGGTAGGTAACACAAGGGACAGTACACCTACAAGATATACCACATTGGCAGCCACCTGCCAGGTAGGTAATACAAGGGACAGTACACCTACAAGATATACCACATTGGCAGCCATCTGCCAGGTAGGTAACACAAGGGACAGTACACCTACAAGATATACCACATTGGCAGCCACCTGCCAGGTAGGTAATACAAGGGACAGTACACCTACAAGATATACCACATTGGCAGCCACCTGCCAGGTAGGTAATACAAGGGACAGTACACCTACAAGATATACCACATTGGCAGCCATCTGCCAGGTAGGTAATACAAGGGACAGTACACCTACAAGATATACCACATTGGCAGCCATCTGCCAGGTAGGTACACCTACAAGGGACAGTACACCTACAAGATATACCACATTGGCAGCCATCTGCCAGGTAGGTAATACAAGGGACAGTACACCTACAAGATATACCACATTGGCAGCCACCTGCCAGGTAGGTAATACAAGGGACAGTACACCTACAAGATATACCACATTGGCAGCCATCTGCCAGGTAGGTAATACAAGGGACAGTACACCTACAAGATATACCACATTGGCAGCCACCTGCCAGGTAGGTAATACAAGGGACAGTACACCTACAAGATATACCATATTGGCAGCCACCTGCCAGGTAGGTAACACAAGGGACAGTACACCTACAAGATATACCACCTACAAGATATACCACATTGGCAGCCACCTGCCAGGTAGGTAATACAAGGGACAGTACACCTACAAGATATACCACATTGGCAGCCACCTGCCAGGTAGGTAATACAAGGGACAGTACACCTACAAGATATACCACATTGGCAGCCATCTGCCAGGTAGGTAATACAAGGGACAGTACACCTACAAGATAATATGAAGGGACAGTACACCTACAAGATATACCATATTGGCAGCCATCTGCCAGGTAGGTAATACAAGGGACAGTACACCTACAAGATATACCACATTGGCAGCCATCTGCCAGGTAGGTAATATGAAGGACAGTACACCTACAAGATATACCACATTGGCAGCCATCTGCCAGGTAGGTAATACAAGGGACAGTACACCTACAAGATATACCACATTGGCAGCCACCTGCCAGGTAGGTAACACAAGGGACAGTACACCTACAAGATATACCACATTGGCAGCCACCTGCCAGGTAGGTAATACAAGGGACAGTACACCTACAAGATATACCACATTGGCAGCCATCTGCCAGGTAGGTAATATGAAGGACAGTACACCTACAAGATATACCACATTGGCAGCCATCTGCCAGGTAGGTAATATGAAGGACAGTACACCTACAAGATATACCACATTGGCAGCCATCTGCCAGGTAGGTAATATGAAGGACAGTACACCTACAAGATATACCACATTGGCAGCCATCTGCCAGGTAGGTAATATGAAGGACAGTACACCTACAAGATATACCACATTGGCAGCCATCTGCCAGGTAGGTAATACAAGGGACAGTACACCTACAAGATATACCACATTGGCAGCCATCTGCCAGGTAGGTAATATGAAGGACAGTACACCTACAAGATATACCACATTGGCAGCCATCTGCCAGGTAGGTAATATGAAGGACAGTACACCTACAAGATATACCACATTGGCAGCCATCTGCCAGGTAGGTAATATGAAGGACAGTACACCTACAAGATATACCACATTGGCAGCCACCTGCCAGGTAGGTAATATGAAGGACAGTACACCTACAAGATATACCACATTGGCAGCCATCTGCCAGGTAGGTAATATGAAGGACAGTACACCTACAAGATATACCACATTGGCAGCCATATGAAGGACAGTACACCTACAAGATGCCAGGTAGGTAATATGAAGGACAGTACACCTACAAGATATACCATATTGGCAGCCATCTGCCAGGTAGGTAATATGAAGGACAGTACACCTACAAGATATACCACATTGGCAGCCACCTGCCAGGTAGGTAATACAAGGGACAGTACACCTACAAGATATACCACATTGGCAGTCATCTGCCAGGTAGGTAATATGAAGGACAGTACACCTACAAGATATACCACATTGGCAGCCATCTGCCAGGTAGGTAATACAAGGGACAGTACACCTACAAGATATACCACATTGGCAGTCATCTGCCAGGTAGGTAATATGAAGGACAGTACATGTTTACATTGAATTTCGTCACGATAAATGGAAACAAACAACTGTTTTCATGCAGAGTTTGGTTATGTGTAGATTTAACCTTGTAAATGTAATATTCAGAACCTCACTCCACCCTGTCGCTTCTAAGTGAGTGAGTGTTGAGTTTCGTTTTATTATAGGATATTTATATAGCGCACATATCCAGTCAACTAGTACATGCTCAAGGCGCTGGTATTTTTTCCTCGATCATTGGATGTCAATTTCAACGGCACATCGTTGTATTATCAATCTTAACTCCCTGGGGAGTATAGAACTCTTGCAGCCACTAGACGCACCGAGTTATTGTGGCTTTCTTATCCTTACGAGGTACCCATTGACAGCTGGGTGGACTTGGACACATAGTCACAGTACTTTGTCCAAGTTCACTGCACGTTGCTGTACCCTCAACTAGGTGTTTGCACGTATTCATGTGGCCACCATCTAGTCATATACCAACGAGTTGTGTTCTGTAAGTGCACATGGTTGTGTACTGTACACTAGGGGTTGTGACAACACTGAAAGAATCTGCACACAAAGTTGACTCCAAGGTTTTTACACCCGGTCACAGGTGGGCTCGATCCCGACACCTCAACCTCTCTGGATCTCTAGCCTGGCCCCTTAGCCAGCTCTTACACCGCTTTTAGCAATATTCCAGCAATATCATGGCGGGCACTTCAGAAATAATCTTCACACAATGTACCCATGTGTCACTTCTGATTAAGTGTATGGCAGTTATATCTACAGGTAACCTAACTCCCACACTGAAAACAGTTTGTCTATATCTTAAACAAGCAAAACATTGCTATCAGAATAACATTGCTTTATGTCATATTTTCATGATTTCTTAATAAAAAAGGACGTCTTAATATTTAAACTGTTTTGTGTTTGAAGGTTGGTTTCGAGCGATCCTACCCAAGTCAGCTCTCAGGGTGGAGGAAGAAGCCTGGAATGCCTACCCCTACACAAAGACTCGCTACAAATGTCCCTTCATTGAGAAGTTCCTGCTGGAGATTGAGACCAAGTACTTAGACAATGGGGGCACGACAGACAATGTCTTCAATATGACCCCATCAGATATGAGACAGAGAGTTGTTGGTGAGCACTGCCAGGAGGGAGGGAGTAGTAAATATTGCTGCATCAGCAAATATTGTAAACATTTCTGACCTGGGTTTATTTTCGTCTTACATCATGCTGACAAGGTGTGATGTAACTGACATAAAGTTCCAAATAGTGTAAAACTCACTCCCTTCAGCATTTAATAGTCCCTTCATCACTTTCAAGAGGTTACATGTGAAACGGGCATCTGGAAAAATATGACGTTCCTATTGACAATAATGTGTTTGGTGTGGCTTTTCCTTTGTTCAGAATTAAATTGCCAAATCAAGATGTGTTCAATAACTCATCAAGCTATAAATTTGATTGATAAATGATTGTATGTTCAAATTTGCTGATGTTGGAAAACCGTTTCTGGTCAGAAAGGTAACATCTGATTGGCTGAAAAAAGAATCATGTATCTTTCATCATGCCAGACTGTGCTCATTTCATGTTTCCTCCAATGGAGAGTTTGTCCAATCTTGATCGAGAGGTATTGAATCAAACGGATTTTAATATGACACCTCCAGTGTTGGATTAGAATGTGTTTCAGTTATGAAGCTATTGCTGTCAAAACCTGGAAGCCAGATGGCCTTATGTTATGTCATAAATTTTGTTCCTAGCCAGCATTGCAACAGATGTTGACATCAGCCTTTGACAGAATAGTTATGAAAAGCAGTCAATCATCATGTTTATTGTGCTCATTAATGTTACAAGCAGATATGTTAGTTGTGAAAAATTCTGATAGATTTTCACATGTGTAAACTAACTTAAGCCATTGTTACCGTGGTAATGAAGCTGAAGCAGAACATGTAACACTTTGCATGCATACTGCTGTTCCAATGATCGTTGATAATAACCCCTGAATGATCCTATGCCGTGCAATGATATTAAGTGTTTATATTAGGTCATATGTTCATTGGACCGCCTCCGTGGTGTAGTGGTTAGAGCGACCGCCCGGAGAGCCGAAGGTCGCGGGTTCGATCCCCGACCGCGTCATACCAAAAGACGTTAAAATATGGTACTTGTTGGTCCCTGCCTGGCTCTCGGCATTAATGGGTACTACAAGGACTGGTCGGCTCGGAATCAGTATAATGTGTCTGAGTGGGGTATTCATGCTTCACTGCGGCATGGTATTTCAGTGGGCTAGCACAATAAACCCAGCTTCAGTCTGGGCTAGTACAAGCAGCTGCACATACACATACACACGCATGCACGTCGTCATATGAGCGAAATATTCTCAAGCACGACGTTAAACCCAATTTCACCTCACCTCACCTCGTATGTTCATTATCAAAGTCTCATCATTAATGCTGAACAAACAATAACATGGGGAACAAGATTTTTCAGGAAGAATATTTGAGTTGTTCATTGAATCGTGTAGACTAACACATATATATAAATATATATAATTTTGATAGTAAAAAATAAACCCATATACTAGTAAGTTGCAAAGGAGCCCCAATTACATGGGAGATCCTGAACCTGAGGAAGTCTAGACTTGCTTCATTCAGAGCTTTAGCATTGCAGGGAGGGCTAGACAGTAGGGACAATTATGTGGTTCAGGGACTGTCAGACAGACTAGTAGACGGACTGTGAATCATGCTGCACAGATGGGTTCAGATGTGGATCACTTTGCTTTGTTGCTGATAAATTGACATGCTCATGGTTTTAGACGATTATCACTGTTTATCAATGTATCTCTGTTCAAACGTAATTTTTGATCCTAATGCCTTGGGCTGGTCGTGTGACTCCCCAAAAAGTGTACCATGTATTATAAAAATACTGAAAGCTCCAGAAAGTATTAATTCTACAATATACTTGAAATATATCAAAACCTTGAAAATACTAACGTAACAATGACAAGATATAACTTTTCGGCGATTTTTGAAAAACAACAACAGCAAGACAAATGTCAAGAAAACCCCTAACACCATGTCTTCAGTAGAAACAGCAGCCACTGGCAGGAATACAGACATAGAAAAGCCAGAGCCGTCAAATAATAACAGGACAAACAGTCACAGAAAGAGAAACCGTCCATATAGTTAACCTGGTTCAATAGTGACCGAAAATTTCCTCAAGTTCCAGATTCGTCTATTTGATCCATAGGGTACAACTTCTGTGACTGTGTACTAGTGTTTTGGTGTATTTTAAGAGATTCATCTGGGGACTTCCAATTGAATTTTAATTCCTAAAAAGGTTGTCGTAATCCCCAGGTTGTTTGAAGGATATGGCTGATATACCACGCTGATGGTTGTAGATGTTCTGGACATTGTCCGAGACCCGGTCACAAGTGGGGACTACACCAAGGAGGAGGACCCCAAGCTGTACAAGTCCTCCAAGACGGGACGGGGTCCTCTGGAGGAAAACTGGCGGGAGGAGTACAGCCAGGCCATTCTTGACCCCAACAACACCACCAAGGCCATCATGACGGCCTATAAACTGTGCAAGGTGGAGTTCCGGTACTGGGGCATGCAGAATAAAATAGAGAGATTCATTCATGATATTGGTAAGTTTGGAAAGTAATGTGACTGTTAGTGAATGGTTTTGTGCTGCTTTGGTCAATATGTTATCAAAGTGACAGTAGGTGCTCAGAGGTTGTACCTGTGTAAGGATTGTTGGGATGAACAAAATGCTCCAACCTTCAGAATTTCCCACAGCACTTGGAAAATAAAGTGACTTGAAATAGTGATGGAAATAGGTTAGGGAACAGCTTTCAAGAGAGTGTGCAAGTTTGGTTTTATGCCACTTTTAGCAGTAACACAAATATGGCAGTAGGGACAGAGGCACTTATGTAGGGAATTAAACTGGGGTCTTGGTGAGAGAAACAAACGCTGTATCAACTGAGCTACCCCACTTCGATTTCCTGATTTGAAGTAGAAGATTGATATGAAATCTCATTATACCCAATGGGTTAGTGAGTGAAATTTTATTTTGGACACTTTCAGCTTGACACACACAACAACCAAACATGGTGCTAATGTGAGTGAGTGAGTTAAGTTTTACGCCGCTTTTAGCAATATTCCAGCTGTAACACGGCGGGGGACACCAGAAATGGGCTTCACACATTGTACCCATGTGGGGAATCGAACCCGGGTCTTCGGCGTGACGAGCTAACGCTTTAACCACTTGACTACCCTACCGCCCCGCAATAATGTGAATACCCAATACATCATTAAGATATTATGCCTGTTGACATTGTATACTTTCTCTCTGGGTAATATATTACACTTTTGTCTTAAAATCTAAGTGGGCTGACATGGACCCTGCATCAGTTACATGCACACAAGTCTGTATACACGTATGTATGCGTATCTCTGTATAAGTGCAGTAACCTGGAATACGATGTAGAACACCACCCCACCCCCACACACAGGGGTTTACACAGACTTTTAAAAATGGGAGTCATGGTGACTCACAATATTTATTTTTGGGAGTCATTTTCAATATTTGTGAGTCATGAAAATTGTAATATTTCTTTGTGTTAATCATTCTCAGTATGTAACTGTGTATGTCACACCACCAAATGAAACTACAGCATTGTTCAATTCACACAGCCAGGATTACTGTCTCCTCTGAGTTCTCTGGAACAATCTGACAGCTCTGTAAAAGTCAAACTATCATCGAACAATATCATTTTTTGCTTATCAAATCGATTTTATTGAACTGAATTGTGAGGGCCACCTATAAAACTTGCGTCAAGCTTGACTCGTATGATAATATTTTGAGAGTCATTAACAAAATTGTTGCGTCAAATACGCAGGAATCACGCGTCATGTAAAACCCTGCACACACCCTTCAGTCAATGAGTATTCTACTGTGACGACTTTTTCAGCGTTACGGAAGACCATGTTACGTGCTCACCGACAGGCATGGTGTTGGCAGGATGAATGGAGTGGTTTAACTTTGAATGATATCAGGCAGTTAGAACATGAGACACAACTGCGCACTTCAGGAGAAGATGGCAGCTGCCTCAGAAGAGGAAGGGGACAATGCAAGAAGAGGAAGTATGAAGGGAGATAACTCAGTGAGGTTTTCGGAGACAACCTCTAGTGAAACTCAAGACAATGCTCATTTAAATTCGAAGGTGCTAATCAATCGGACAGCTTCTCAGGAGAGTAGTGGCACAATAATTAATGGGGAAACAGGACCCAGGAGAAGATCACTTGGTTCCAGCAAGAGATCTGTTGGAGGTAAGTAATTGTGTTTCAGTTGTTGTTGAATCACAGAATGATGTTCTTCATGGAACAACTCACATAGGGATTTCTAGGGAAGCACAAGCCCCACGTATCCATGCTTGCAAGAGTCTAGTGAGTGAGTGAGTTTAGTTTTTCGCCGCTTTTAGCAATTGTCCAGTAATTACTAATATCACGTCGGGGGACACCAGAAAAGGGCTTGACACATTGTACCCATGTGGGGAATCGAACCCGGGTCTACTGTGTGACAAGCGATTGCTTTATCCACTAAGCTACCCCACCGTCCTGTAAAAGTCCAGTAAAACGATGGTTCATTATGTGTAAGCATACTCAGTTGCTCATGTTATCACTCATTTGTTTCTTGCTCCAGATTAATGTATTTTCATGATGCTGCCATAAATGTGCACCCACACACTCACCCACTCACTCACTCAATCATTCAATCACACACTCACACACATGTCAGTTCTCACTGTTGTGTATCAATAAGAAGATATCCTGTTGTTTCCCAATTTGGAGGTTTCATGCTATAGTTTAGATCCCTGTACATTTACATCAGACTGAAACATATCAGTTTAGAATCTTTTTTTTATATATATTATTAATTAAGCGTTCATGGTATTATTGGTATATCAGCTTATTGAGGTTCACAAAATTATTTTTGAATTTGGGTGTATTGAGTAATTTCAAACAGCATTTTATATCATGTTTTTAATGTTATACACTTGCCAAACATGTTTGAAATGTTTCTGTAATTCCAAAATGCAAGTGCGCAAAGATAAGAAGATAATTCTCAGTTCCCTCCCTTATGTGCATGTGGATTCCAACACTTCCGTCTCAAAGATGGTGGCTGGTCAGTCGTAATCACCAACATCTAGTTTTGTCCTATGTATGACTTCAATTCATGCCATGATGTTTCAGATTGTTTCTGAATTTACAATTTAAAACTATACCATATATCATGATCCATATCACAATACAACCTTGTATTAGAGTATATATTGAATATCCATCCCTTGTATTATAAAGAGATGATTCTGTGCATTACAATGTTGAGATAATATAGGCTGCTTCCCTTCATGTTAACAGTTTAAACAGAAGGTGTCAGTTCAATCAACAGGTGCTTTGTTGTATATGAAAACATATTGATTCACTTGCTGCGTGGTTGTCAGACCAACAGATGGTCGGACTGACTTCGTACTAGGTTATGTCATCTATTATTCCCGCTGATTTTTTATTGTTATGTTATTTATGCAAAACTAACATTTGATGTAAATGTTATAATTTGCCAAATGACAGGTGTATGTACAATGTAAGCAAATTATACAAGCCTTGTTTCCATTGTACAAAGTGTCATGTTGGTGAATCATCACAGCTGTCATGATAAACAAGAATGAATTAATTGGTCTTCAGCAAGCCATGCTTGTTGTAAGAGAGGATTGGTTGGTCATATGTATGAATACACAACGCCAGAGGTATGTCATCGTTTCCATTTCACAGGATCAATGTTTATGATGTCAATCACTGGATAATCTGGCCTGATTGACATCATATGGCCGGACTATCAATGAACAAGACATCAAACAACAAACAAATGATAAAGAAACAGATTCTGAAATAGAGACTGGCACAGAGTCTATGTCCCTCCCTACCCCTGCCCCTGCCCCTGTCCCTGTCCCTGCCCTCCCTCCCTCCCCTTTCTTCACCCTCCATTACCACACTGTTTCTTTGTGGTGCCTTGTATCTGAGGGTATTCTTATCTGGGGCCGGATGTAAAGTTTATGAAGACGCCTCCCCTGCTTGTACAAAGCATACATTCCAATTTAGTTTTAACCAGGTTTTTTCTTGATAAGCAGCCATATTGCGTGTTGCTGCTTGAGGCAGGGAGGTCTGTCTGAACTGGGTCTTTGTTTTGTGATACTGTCTGGATCTAACTCTTGGATATGTGGTCACTGTGTGGTGGAATCCCAGCTCAACTTTCAGGACTGACTGACAGTTAATAGGGAAGTCCATCATTGTTTTCTGTTGTCTCATCACTAGGAATATCATGGAGAAGATAAGCTTTCTGTGCATGTTTAATGTAACTTTAGAACCAGCTTAACAGTATTTCTTCGAGAGGGACAGTTTTTATGGATACACAACTTCTTTATTGCGACAGATGCTACGTTTTGGTGTAGATGTTAACACTGTTATCAAGCAAGTGACAACTGGGTTAGCATCTACAACGAAACTATCCATAAATATTGTTCTTCTTCATACCAGTTTCTAAATGCCACACAAAGAAGTAATTCTTCAGTGTAATTTATCACATATCTTACATTGAGGGGTATATGCATTCACTAGGTATTAAGTGTAATAAGAGCTGTGTAATACACTTGGTTTGGGTACTGTATGTATCTTTCAAGTTGGATGTTGACTGACATGACATTGGGGAATGTATTTTGAAACCGTTATCTGTCTTACTGTCAAAGTAAAGTTTACATTTAGAAACTGAAGTGGTTATTTTGAGCTTAGCTGAGAAGAGAGTTGAGACATTATGCAACTGTTGGGTGGTTATGGAATGTAGAAGCATTGCATATGTCAATCCTGGCCATTGGAAGTAGCACACATGGAAATTGGTCCACTCTTGACTCTATACGTTGATCTGGGATTCTGTCCACTCTTGACTCTATACGTTGATCTGGGATTCGGGTCCACTCTTGACTCTATAGGGATTCGGTCAGAATCAAGTATGTCAGACTGAGTGGCTCATTGACTTGATGAACTGCATGTCATTGTATCCAGATGTGTGGATTGATGCATGCTCATGATGTCAATCACCGGATTGTCTGGTCCAGATGTGATTATTTACAGAGTACCATCTTAAAGCTGGAATATTGCTGAGTGTGGTATTGAACAACAGACAAACAAAAACTGTGAAATCTTCTTGTAGGTGTCATTGTACTAAATTCTTAAATGTTGCTTGAACAGTCCTGTTGAAAAATGCAGTTTTGTTAATGGAAAAAGGGTATAATAATTCATTTGTAAAGTTTTTGATATGCCAAGTTTGTGTGCCTAAGGCCAATGCTAAGGAATATGTATGTTGTTTGTATAAATTTGCTAGTGTCTGTTTGAAGTGTTTAATTGCATTTCAAAGACAGATTTGAATTTCATCAGTATGATCAATTCTAGGCCAATGTGCTATAGAACTGAACTGGTTAAGGCCCAAACAAACTGAATGTTGGTTATTTTAGTTTTCATACCTCCTTTTCTTTATGAAAAAGATCCAACACTGTACCAAGAAAGTAACCTGTAAGCAGATGATAGAATTATGAAATGTTCTTCCACACACTGACTTTGAGGAAACACATAATTACTTTGTTATAGTTTTGAAAAATGTTGCATGGATAGAAATTAACCTGAAAAGTGAGCCGGCAGAAATTGTGAAAACTTCATTCTGAAGGAAAACCAAGTTCTATGGATAGTCAACTTCTTTATTGCAGTGGGTGCGACGTCTACTAACAAGCAACGGTGTTAGTACCTACACCGAAACGCCGCACCCACTGCAATAAAGAAGTTGACTATTCATAGAACTTGGTTTTCCTTCATCTATACAACTTCTAAAATGCCTTCATTCTGGTTTAGTGACACTGAAAATGGTGTCAAAATACTTGTCTGGGAATGTTAGACACAGAAAGCTGCCACATTCTGAATAGTTCTTTACAACCATCACAGCATAAAACAGAACCATGAATTATCACAATGATCAATTACTGAACATAGCTGCATATGTGCTAATGCTTATGACAATATGAAGCGGTTATGTTGAGCAGCTTCTTCAGACCTCATAGTCATACATTAAATATATAAACTGAAACAAAAGTGTGCATTTGTAGTTTTTAAAGGAATGTTGACTAAGTTCATTTGTAAACATAACCGTTCAGTCATGCTGATTCTTGAGATTCTTGAGATTCTTGAGAGGCATTTAGAAGTTGGTGAATATATAAGACGAGTATATGGATGACAACTTAATCACCTGAAGAAGGGGCAAGAAGTAGCCCATAAATGTTGTGTTATACAATACACAAGAAGTTGTCGTCCATATACTCGTCTTATATGTGGATTCTTACCTGGGGTGTAACTCAATGATGGTGTTTGTCGTAAGCAAAATGGATGCTTCTTAAAAAAAGCACCATTGTAATATTTGTCATAACTGTTTGTAATATTCCTTATTGGAAGGGCTTGTTATTCTACACACATTTATAAGTCATCGCGATAATTCGTAATTCTGTTTCAAGTGGCAAGACTATTGCAAAAACGATTGGTTTAAGATTTGGCAATTTTGCCAGGCGAGCTGCCCAGGTTATTTCTGTCCCAGGTTTGTGCAGGCCATCAAATACATCCCTCCACCATTGTCTGTCTGTAGGTTGTCTCTGAGATCAGACATGGCCTCATCACAACTTGACTGAAGGAACCAGGTGCTGTACAATGTCGCTCATGCTTCACATCGCCATTGGTGGGTGACATTGGTTTAACCGTTACAGCTTTCTCAATAAAATCTTCTCGTATTGGCGAGGTTAATATTAAAATATTAGCCTGAACTAGTCCTCCGGTACCTGAGTCCCATTCTGTTAAGTAGTGTTAGTTTTGCGACTGTTGCGTTCATGCTGGATGTAAGATAGCCACAGTACTGAGGTTGGGAGATGATGTCTCATTTGTCATACTGAAAAACAGTGTTGGACCATTCTGGGCTTCAGGGCTGATAATGAAGGCCTTCTTGATGCTCAGGGGCTTTTAATTTGGGATACTCACCTGTTTTGTGTTCCACACTGCAAAACTCCTGACAGTTTTGTGACTCATGGACTCCTGGCTTATAAAACACAGACCTTTCTCTATGGCCCAAGGATTTCTGACTGAAAGTACAGACATTTTTGTGGCCCAAAGACTTTTGGCTGAAAATACAGGCGTTTTTGTGGCCCAAAGACTCCTGGCTGCAAAAATACACATGTTTTTGTTGC